TTTAGGTCCTCACCCGAGAGAGGAGCACTGTATAGCCAATTCCGTGCAATGGCTCTCATTCACTCAGCGCTATCGGGTGGGAAATGGGGCTGCACCTCCCGACGGCAGCCCCTGTACCCTCCCGCCGCCCCTCCCACAGCTCCAAACTCCCCCATTACCTGCTCTTCCACAACCTGCCCCTCATGCAGTACGTTGCCCCTTGTCGCGGCAGGTAAAGAAGACAATGGAGGCCACTCTGCAGACCATCCAGGACATTGTGACCGTCGAGGATTTTGATGTGTCTGACTGCTTCCAGTACAGCAACTCTATGGAATCCGTCAAGTCCACGGTCTCAGAAACCTTCATGAGCAAGCCCAGCATCGCTAAAAGGAGAGCCAACCAGCAAGAGACCGAGCAGTTCTATTTCACGGTGAGGGGGTCAATGGCTCTTGAGGATCCCCTGCAGCTCACGGGGGGACTCGGAACGCAGAGTCCCTGTCAGGTGTTGAAAAGGTAGTCTTTGAATATCTTGATTTGGATGTGGGCATATTCAGAGACCATTCCTACACTTAAAGACATAGATATCTACAAGTTGAATGTGCCTAACAGGGACACCTCCCCTCCTCCCCAAGAGAAAGGTGCTCCCAAGTACACCGTCAGGAAGATTATTTTTTTAAAGCATTTTTAAAGCAGCTGGTAGGCTTCTGTTGGAAAGTTTCCTTCTCAGCTATAGAGTATCACAAAAGGAGGACTTCATTTCTTGGTTCTTGGGAACTACATCCAAATATTCTGGCCAGCACATATCTTGTTTTGTTTTGTTTTGTTTTAAGCCTATAATCTCTTGTAGGTGGTGCGATGACCTTATTTTATAATTTTTGTTGATGGGAAATTATCTTTCATAATGATGGCTAAAATTCAGAAGGACAGGTCATGTGCAGCATTGTTGGTTTGCAGGGAATTTCAAAACATTGTTATTTTATTATTTGTTATATCTCCCAGTCTTCTTTAAGACAAATAGACCCCATTTCCTTTAAGTAGTGTTAACAGCCCTTTGGAAGGTTGCTGGCTGGTCTTTGGTGCTGCTTTTTAATAATTAAGTTATTTTGAGCTTGCCAAGTAGGATTCATTGCCTGAGCTAAAATTTATTTTCTAATCTTCTGACAACCAAGAAAGGAGAAATTAAATTTGCAGATGTGAGATGAAATATAGGCAGTGAATATGCATACTGATTCTGAATGAGAGGAATTAACTTGTTTTTTAGTCAAGAAACACAGTCTGCATGCAGTAAATTGAATTTTTCCTCCAACTGGAACAATTTGTTTAATTCTTCTTTGAACACTGCCCTTTCTCCATTAAGAACACTAGTGATTTGCTATCTTTTCTAAAAAAAGAAATTTTTTTTACTTAGTTAAACTAAGAATTCTTTTGATTTTTTTTTTTAAATCCTGGAAAAGACTGTTGAAAAGGATTGATTGAACAGTATTGTTCTTTTAAAACAACTTTTTTCTTGTTATATGAAGCAAAGCATGGTTAAGATATAAATATAGAAACAAAAAAGAGCAAATAAAAATCATCCATAATCGTACTACCTTGAGATGACAGTATTAGGATATATTCCTTTCCTGTTTTTTTCTCTGGACAAGAAACATATATGTGAGTATGTATTTATAATTTATTACAAAAAAGGGGATACTGCTGTGCATATTGTTTTACAGTCTGCTTTCATTTAGCAAGTGATTAATATTTTTCTAATTCATTTCATCATAACATTCTTTAAATATATTTATGAGTAAAATACTAAAATCTACATAGGGACATAATGGAACAATGCTTTGGCTCATTCATTCATTTTTGTAAAATATTTAGCTAATGCTCCATAAATGCTGAATATTTATTATCCCCACAAGCATTATTAACTTCTTCATTAGTCATTATTGGATTACTCTTTGATAATTTATCAAGGGTCTTCAATGTGCCAGACACCGTGCTAACTAACATCAGGAAGGCCGAGGGTAGGAGGTGAAGAGGGGGATGATAGGATTGGCCGTCTGAAGGAAGAACTTTCGTTTTTGTTTCATATGTTTCCAAACAGTTATGATAGATTGATTTCGCAATCAAAAAAATAAAGTAAGAAATTAGCAACGCATACCTGCACAAATACATGAATGGCAACCAGGATGGATGGAGTTGGGGAAACCTTGCACACAAAGTGACTTTTGTGCTTGATCTCGGGGGATGAGTGAACCGGGCAGGGAGTCAAGAGGAGAATGGCCTTCCTTGAAGAGAGAGAGAGAGCAGTCTGTGCAAAGCATAAAGGCATACGAAGCCTGGGCTGGACAGGATGAGAACTTCTTGTCTATCATGACGGCTGTGTTGCCACCCCAAGCTTTCTTATCTCGGGAGGTTGTTGAACACTCTAGAGGCTTTTAATAATAGGATTGTTTAGCTGGTCTATCTGGACTGCTTAGATATAACACTCCTTAATGACCAAATTTCATTACATTGCAGAAGATTTCCATTTTTTTTTAATTAAATAAGGAATTTGGGACATAAAAATTTGTATTTGAGCCCGTCAGAATTAGTTTTTGGCTTTCAATGAAGCTATGACATGTGTATTCAAAGTTGACCTTCAGTAAGAGCAGGGACAACCATAGTCAAACAGGTGGCCTCACAAACCTTGCCCACCCATTCATCTCTGTCTGAATGCCCTTGATGTCCCCTAGCCCACTTCCCGTCTTTTGTGGCCAGAGCGCTACTTACCAAAATTGTGTGCAATTTCCTTGGCTAACAGAAACACTTTTTGTCTAGGCTTGGGTAATAATGGATTTACAAGAGAGTTCAGCATTTTTGTGACTGGGGCTTGGAATGCATCAAGTAATTCATTTCATGATAACAAGGCTTTTTGGGGGGTAGTGAAATGGACATTTAATAAAGGGGGTGCGTATCAACGTGGCTGCCTGCGCTTGCCAAAACGTACAAAGCCCGTGGACAGGCGTTTCCTAGTCTCTTGCCTTCACAAACGTTGCCCCTGGTTTTCTCTGGACCCTTGGAAAACATCAGAGGAACGCATTCTAGAAGCTCCCTTCTTTTGGAAAGTCGGGGGGCTGCTATGGGGCCATTCTCAGCTGTCATCAGATTGATCTGCCCAGATGACATCAATTGGAAGTTTGTAGCACGTCCTATAAAGGTCAGCTGTTTGCAGGAGTCCCAAGAAAATAAGCACGGAGTAGAAAAGCTTGAAGTGATTTTTAGAAAACATCTAACGAAAACCTTCTCAGCTGAAAGATTAAAAGAAAGAACCCAAATGCAGAGAAATTGGGTAGCTGTTCCAAGGGACTCAGCAAGGGCTAAAACTAGAACTCTGGTCACCTGGCCTCAGGCTGCTGGCTTTCTTCTCTACTCTCTGCTGAAGAGCTGAGGTGAAGGAAAGGCTCAGAAACATCCCAGCAGCTTTATCCCCTCTTTTGCTCTGAGTGAAGACATGTTTCCTGATCTGCTTCGGTTTGTGTCACTCATCTTTCATAACACACAATCCAGCAACGTCAACTTTTTATCCCATTCCTTTTTTTTACAGGGGTTGTTAAAAAAAATTTTTTTTAATTTAAAATGCAAAGAATTCAAAAGAACATACAGAAAAAGTCAAGCTTCTACCCATCTCTGACCCTCACTTCCTCTCTCCTCTGCCAGTGATTGAAATCAGTTTCTTCTGTGTCCTTCCAGAGGTAGCCTATGCATAGGCAACAACTGACATATCCTTTAATACAATAAAATTACATTAGAAATATCATGAAATCAGGGTGCCTGGGTGGCTCAGTTGGTTAAGCCTCCGACTTCAGCTCAGGTCATGATCTAATGGTTCTTGGGTTTGAGCCCCACATCGGGCTGTCTGCTGTCAGCACAAAGCCTGCTTCGGGTCCTCTGTCCCTTCTTCCTACCCCTCCCCTGCTCATTCTCTCTCTCAAAGATAAATAAACATTAAAAATATTTTTTTAAAAAAAGAAATACCATGAAATCAAATAAGGAGAATACAAAAAGAGGTACTATATCACTTGGGGTGCCGTGGCTCAGTTGGTTAAGTGTCCAACTCTTGATATCAGCTCAGGTCATGATCTCATGATCTCATGGTTCGTGGGATTGAGTCCCACGTCTGGGTCTGTGCTGACAGGGAGGAGCCTGCTTGGGATTCTCTCTCTCTCCCTCTTTTTGCCCCTCCCCCTCATCTCAAAATAAATAAGTAAACATTTTTTAAAAAGGAAGTATACCACTCATACTGTTCTTCACTTTCCTTTTTTCACTTAATTTTTGTTTTTTTGGATATTCTTTTCATATTAGTCCAAAGACATCTACCTCCTTTTTAATTTTTTATGTATTTATTTTTTAATGCTTATTTATTTTTGAGAGAGAGAGAGAGAGAGAGAGAGAGAAAGCACAAGTGGGGAGGTACAGAGAGAGGGGGAGACAGAGAATCCCAAGCAGGCTCCCCGCTGTCAGCACAGAGCCCTTTGCGGGGCTCGAACTCACAAACATGATCTTATGACCTGAGCCAAAACGAAGAGTCAGCCCCTTAACTGACTGAACCACCCAGGCACCCCTGCCTTCTTTTTTAATTGCTACACAGAATTCCATTATATGAATGGATGTACCATCATTTAACCAATTCCCTGCCAATTCTCGTGGGTTGTGATGCTCTCTGTTTAGCTGAGGACTGTCAAAGCCTATAAGGCTGGCATTTCTCCTAAGTATTTCCTTGTACGGGGGTTAGAGTATGGGGTTTTGGTGTAGGGGATGGAGTAAAGAAGGAGTTAAAGTTCACGGCTGATAAAATGAACAAAGATAGACTGCCTGAATTCTTGGGGACAGAGTTGGTAAGGTAGTAGGAGAGGAGATGCACCTTGGCCATCTAGATCCCTAGATTTGATGTGGTCCAAGATCTTTTTTGATCTTTTTTTTTTTTTAATGTTTATTTATTTACTTTTGAGAGAGAGCACATGAGAGCAGGGAAGGGGCAGAGAGGAGGAGAGAATCCCAAGCAGGCTTCACACTGTCAGCACAGAGCCTGACACGGGTCTCGATCTCACGACTGTGATCAGGATCTGAACCAATATCAGGAGTCGGACGCTTAGTCAACTGAGCCACCCAGGTGCCCCGAAGATCCTTTTTGATCTTGATATTCTCCTGCAGGCACTCAGGAAATGCGTGCTAAGTCGGTACCTACTTAGCCCCTGCCCTGTCAATTAAAGTGGGAGATGTGCTCCTGTTTACAGGTTTGCTGTGTTACATATTCTGACAGCTGTTTCCTGCTTTAAAAATTGACAGAGAGGAGAGAAATGTCAGTGTGCCTGGATGGTGGGGAGGCAGCCACCCCACAATGACATTTGTGTCTCTCTGCATGGGGCTCGGTAGACACAGTTCATTCTTCCCACCCACCCCACTCCTTTGCAGCAGGTGGACACTTCACATAGATTAAATCCAAGGCATAACAAGGTCCGTGAGTTTTATACTGCCATCGTATTAAAGGGAAGAGGTATTTTAAGTTAAATTTGAAAAGCATTCTAGTGCCTCTTTCTTTCTTTTTCCTTTCCTTTTTGTTTTTGTTGTTGTTGTTGTTGTTGTTGTTGTTGTTGTTTGTTTGTTTTTAAGGCCAGAAACCAGTTGTCTTATGGGTTAGCACAAAGCAAAGAAGTTGAGGGAGGACTGTTTTTAGGTTATCTGAGCAGGTGAGTCAGGTACAAGGAATACTGTTGACTGCTGGCTGGTTGGCTGGACCTTATGCTAATAATCACGGGCATGCTTGTTTTCCTATTTCATCTTCAAACAACCTTGGGAAAAAATAAATTATTATCCCCATTTTTCAGATGGGGAAACTAAGACACTGGGGGTTAAGTGACTTGCCCAAGGTAAGCAGTGGGACAACAATATCCCAACTAGACTCTTTCATTTTACTACGACAAAAATGTCTGTCAGGGAGGAAGGGCTCAGAAAGAAAAACTGTTACATTAATACTTTTCAGTAAATAAAACTCATCGCTGACCGGTAATAACCAGTTAGGAATTATTAAGAAATAAATTAATGAGACCGTAAAAACTGAATTGAAGGCTTACAGTGGCAAATGAAACCAAACCACCCAAAAGACTGTTTGTCTTTTCTCTTTCTTGTCTTTTCTCCTCTATCAATGAAAATCGAAGGTTAGTGACTTTACTTTTGGATATTTGGGGAGGGGAGCAAGGTGCAGGGGAAGGAGTGAAAGAAATGAATTACCTGTGTTGGAACATACTTTAAATAAGGAAAGTGACCCTTATTGTCCAAAGAAGGGATTTTGAGATTATGCATAACAGTTCTTTTCGTGGCCTTCTGGTCTCCAGAAGTCATCAAAAAGCCACTTATGCCTGGGGCACCTGGGTGGTTCAGTCAGTTAAGCATCAGACTCTCGGTTTCAGCTCAGGTCATGATCTCACGGTTTCATGAGTTCGAGCCCCACGTTGGGCTCTGTGCTGATGGTTCAGAGCCTGCTTGGGATTCTCTCTCTTCTCCCTCTCTCTCTGCCCCTCCGCCATTCACGCTGCCTCTGTGTCTCTCTAAATAAATAAATAAACTTAAAAAAAAAAAAAAAAAGGCACTTATGCCTTCCTTGCCTTCAGCTGCCTTGGCTCCTTTCTCTGTGTGTCCGGTCAGCAACTGAAGTCTTCTGCCAGCAAGTACAGATTATTTCTCCCAGCTTCTGTTCCATACAGACGAGTGCTAACTAACATGGGGGACAGGGAGGTGACAAATAATGTGTCCGTGAACTCTGGGATGACTTTACCCTGCCATCCCCGGCTTAGCCAGATGGAAAACTTCCAACCGTCATTTCCACCATTAGGGATGCAGATCAACCTCAACATAGTTTTTGATCCTGCAGGATTTCATGGGACCTGAAGAGGTAATCCATCATATGGCTTTATCAGATTGTTATTTGTTTTAATGGTTCACCAAGTGACAGCCAGAGTTAACTCTCAGACTGTGACATGAGTGAGAAAATGATTTCCAAAATCACAAGTAGAAATAAGAGTGAGAGGAAAGTGCATCCATCTCCTTGCGAATTTTGGCTGTTTTCTGAGCAGTCTGGGCTTGTTTTAAGGGTTACAATTATTGGGGAATTTTTCCTCATTAGGAAACCTTGAGAGTCTCCTGGGATAAGCTTCCAAAGAGGGGCCTTTGAGGGTTCAGATGTTAGCATTGGCTGTTTCCTGCAGGTTCTTCACCTCTGGGCCCTGCAGTCCTGTTCCCAGCCTCACAGTTAGGCGCTGCTTGGGGATTAGGCTATCACCCAGGGAAGACTGACAGCAGGTGAGCTGACAGCTGGAACAGATGGAAAGGGGAAGGTGACAAGGGAGCCTGTTCTCGTGCACATGTTCTCGTGCAAAGGCACAAAGGAGCTGAGGAAACAGGTCATGGGTGAAGCAACAGAAATGATTTGGCATAGGGTTTGTTTTTGTTTGTTTTATACTTCATTTAGAGAGGAGGGGCACACTTGGGGGCTTGCATTGTGACCTCTGAGGAAGGTTCTAGCAGAGGAGAGTGAGGCTCTTCATTTCTTTACTCCTTCTTCAAGCATTTATTGGTGTCCATTATCTACTGGGTGCGGTAGTAAGCATCAGGGATTGCAAAGAATGATGACGTTGACCCCAGGGAACGGGCAGTCTGGGGAGAAAGACCCCTGAGTGAGAAGCCCTCTGGACCAGGGCTGTGTGAGATTCGCAAAGGCACACGCAGGGGCATCCCGGTGAGCATCCCCGGTGAGGATGTGCCTCCCAGAGAAAGCAGGGTTTTATTCTTTGTTTCTACATGAGAAAGAGAGAGAGAAGAAATCGACACTCTTGGTGAAAAGTTTACACTGTACAGAGAGGTACAGAGTAAAAGTAACTCACATTTTTTTCACGTTTTTTTTTCTGCTTTCATCCTAAGTGGTAATAGCCCTAAAATGAGAGGCTTGATGTAGAATTATACTTTTCGTTTAATACCTTGAAAGGACAGAAGTATTATGATTTAAAATATGTTATGTTACCCCCTCTGCTGTGTCATGTATCGCCAGTGAGTCGCTCAGGGATCATACTCAGGGAAACATTGGCATCTCTCCTCTGAGTGTAGACAGGGGCAGATGACCCCTGACCCTGCAGATGAGCCATGGCAGCAGGAGACAGCCGAGGCCAACGGTGGGCCCCGTGCGCGGCTGCAGGTTAGAGTAGAAAGATGCCGCGTTAAGACTCCGAAGGCCTGGCACTACCACTTCCTGGCTGGCCGTGACCTGCAGTTCAACGCCCGCCTCCCACGATCAGCTTATCGGTAACAAGGGAACAACGATGTCCTCCCCAGTGTGCTCTGCAGAGTTCCTGTGCAGGGCAAGGGAGAGAGTGTGTGCTAACGGGCTCCGAAACCCCTTGAATTGCTCCACACGTATAAAGAGTTAATACCGCGAAGTTTTGTTGGGCTTCCCCTTCCGCTGCGCGCCCTAATGCCCGGATCGTGCGCCACCGTGATGGTTGAGCACACGCGCGGAATCGTCACACCACGTGTGTCTGAATACTGGCTCCACCCCTCACTCCCAGTTTGACCTTGAGCAACCTGTTTAATCTCTCCAAATCTTGGTGCCCTCATCCGTAAAATGGGGACGGTGATAATCATAGCTCATAGGGTTGTTTGGAAGCTCTGATGAATTGTCCAGGGAAATAGAGTCGCTCCCCGAGCAGACGAGGGTGGAGAGAGGTCAGATCAGAAACTCCAGCACAGCAATTGCATTTTGATGGTTAGAGCAGATGGAAGCGCATTTCCAGAACCTCCTGTTGTGTTTGGAAGTGCCGGTATGTGTATATACGGGTGGGGGTGGTATAGCCCCTCTCCCCGAAAGCTCAGAAACCTCAAGCTCCCCACAAAGACTCCCTGCAGAATAGAGGAGGAAGCTGATTAAGGGATGGCGGAGACAAAGATGCTCTGCTTGCTGGCTTGCAGCTCAGGCAGGGGCTGAGCCTGCCCTTGGCATTGCTCCTGATGTGTTGGAATGCACCCTGGGAGGGGCCAGGGTGGGGCTGGACGTCCGTGCAGGTGACAAGTGGCAGGTGTGTGTCCTCACACCAAGAGGATCTGGGCTCAGTGAGTCTATCCACCCCACCCCCAACCCCCTGTTCTTCTTCAATGGAACTGAGATGGCTGAGGGGCTCTAAGAGCCAGTTTCTTACACTAGCCAATGCGGGGCTGGCCCCCAGGAAAACACAAACTGGGATACTCGTCTGCCGTGGAAATCAGCAGCTGTCCAGATGCTCAGGGCCTTAAAGAGATAAAAAAGGAACCTAGTAGAAACTGGGTCAGAAACCAAATGCCCTCCTATAAAAAGGGAATTGTACAGCTGAGCATCTGGGTTGTTGTTGTTGTTGTTTGTTTTTTTTTCTCTTCAGGAGTCTGATTGCTTTTCTCCTCCTCCCTTATAGAAAATGAAGGAGTACCTGGAGGGCAGGAACCTCATCACCAAGCTCCAAGCCAAGCACGACCTTCTCCAGAAAACCCTGGGAGAAAGTGAGTATGGGAATTCTGCTGGAGGTTTGGCAATGGGCGGGGGAAGGCTCAGTCCTGAGCCTCCCCCACTAAGCCCTGTGGGCCTGATCTTGTTATACGAATGCATTTCTTTTCCTAGCCTGTTTGATGTGAAGCACACAGCCCCAGTGACTGCTTGAGTAATGGGAGAAGGCCAGTGCTTAATGAAGCACTAATGTGCATCATCTATTTGTTTAAATGGAGCGTGCCTGCTCTCCACCCTGTCCGCCTTCTCTGCCACGGCTGGGGGAAAGGGCTGATGGGTTACTTGCTCTCCAGACGCTTTGTTAAAACTCTCAGCTCCTCTGTAGCAGGACTGAGGCTGCGGCAGGAAGGCAGGGACAGTAGGATGAGAACGCATCTGCTCTGAGGAGAGGAGAGGCTGCTCAAAGGCAGGAGGGACCCACAGTCTGCCGCTTTCTGTAGCATCCGGTTAGGGCATCGGTTTCCTTCTGCTTTGGAGGGTCCTGGTGCGAAGGGGCAGCCCTCTCTGCCTCAGCCACGCAGAGGCCATGATACTGAATGGCCTGTCTCGTCCACGAATCAAGGATGATTTTAACCAGACCCTGGAAAGTAGCAAAGCAGAGAACTGGACTGGCACTCTGGACTTTCTCTCCTCAGCTGTCAAACAGAAGGCGAAGGTTGAAAGAGAAGCTTCCCTGGGGTTTTGGGCACCCTGCCCGGGTCCTGCCTAGCTCTCAGCATCCTGTGATTCATGGGATTCCCAGGTTGGGGATGCCTCTGAATACCCGGCCCCTCCTCCCCACCCTGCACATCTTGTCACTTAAAATGGGACCAGGAAGCTACAGGCAGTATGTGGTAACACCAGCGAACGGCGAAATTGCACAAGGGTCTAACATTTTAAAACAAATTCTTGAGCGCTCTTCAGACAAATTGCAGAGTGTAGAAAAGCATATGGCGCTCATTGGCTCATCAGCCTCAGGAATCAGAGCTACACTTTTCATACCAGAGCCTCCCACCCATCATTCTGGCCTTGTCCTCCTCCTGCACTGGACGGTTCCCCCAGGTGATGAATTCTTTTTATCTCTGATATCTTTGATCTTGTGATTGTAAAGGCATTTTCTTTTATGTAAAGAATGCCTGTTAGGTAACTTCTGTTCTCTTTCCTCCCCGCCACCCAAGGGACTCAGGCTAAAACAGGTTTGGGCACTGAGATCTCGGCTTCACTTATAGAAAATCATTACTTTGGGGTTATCAGATTGCTTCGTAGAGAATCAGAGGAAAGAAAGCCCAGAACTATTTGAAGCGAGTTAGAACCACGATTTCTTTTTTGCTAAAATAATCCAAGCTAGCCCATAAATGAGATAGGGAGCAGGACCTTGGGAATGTGTGTGTGTGAGAAAGAGAGTGTGTGTGAATGGGTTTGCGCACACACACACACACACACACACACACGCCAGATTTGCTACTGTGGAGGGGCAAAGGTTGGTGACCATTCGTTAGCGCTGCAAATTGCCTCCATCTAAAGATGACAAGTTCTAGCAATAAGGAAACAGTAGCTGCAGACCTTCCTGTGTGCAAGTCTTCATGTCCCTGCCTTCTGAATGTATTTGTCACCATAATGCAAGAGCTCCTTGTTCTTGCCACAGAGGGATAATTGATGTGTATGAATATTCCAGAATGGAAATGGGACAGATGTTGAAAATAATGGCTCAGAATAATATTTTTGCAGATGAAAGCTGAGCCTTTAGTAATGAGAGGCTGTTGGGGGTGGGGGAGGATGTTGCTCAGGATGAGCGAAGTGTAATCAACAATTAGCAACCTTTAAAGGCAAGAGAAAGCCTTGCCCTCCCCCAGTCCTTGGAGCTGTTTTTCCAGGAGCATGGATGATGATCTCCCCCAGCTCAGCACCTGCTTGGGGCGTCCCTGGTTTAGCAAGCGTACGTCTAATACAGACCATGCTTGGTTAACTGTGGGTCCAAAGAAGGCAAATAGATTACATCATGGCCCATGTGCCTAGGCACATGTATTTTTTAAAAATAGAAGAATTCTTCTCATGAACTTTAAGATATTCATTTTTTTAAAGTTGGCTGTGACCCATTACACTTGAAATTAGGGCCTGCTCTTGGATTGAGAACCACAGTTTGACAGCAATTAAATCTCATTTCCCCTTGCCACCCCAGCCCAACCTAAGAGAATTTCATATGAATCTAAAACTAGAACGTCTTTATCTTCTCCCTCTTCCCCCCAAACAATTCTTCCTTCCTTCTTCCCTTGCCGCCCTCACCGTGTGTGTGCGTGCGCGCGCGCGCGTGTGTGTGTGTGTGTGCGCGCGCATGCGCGTGCTCCTTACTCAGGAGCAAGCAAGCCCCTCCCTTCCTCCTCCCACACACACCCACACACTCAGAAGAGAAGCTAGATTTCACCTCTGGGAAGGCTTCTAGTAATCTGTTCTTTAAAATATGATCCGCCTTGCTATTGTTTCCCTACAGCCACCCCTGTTTTCCCTTTGGGAAGCAGGGTTGGCACCCCTAGGCTTTAGGGACATACCAGCAGCACCGGGAACAAGCATTAGAAACAGCACTTGCCCAGGAAGAGGCTCTGGGCATTTGTCTTCTTTTTTTGCCCAGAAGGCCAGTCATGATGCTCAGTGATGCTGGCAGCTCTCAGGGAAGACGGGCAGAGCATTTCAGGTGACTGCTGGCAGCAGGTCTTCCACTCTGGCCCTTTCTGCTTCAACATGAGCTTTTTGCCTTTGTCTTTCCAACAGGTCAGCGGACAGACTGCAGTCTGGCCAGGTAGGTGTGGCCCGGGGCAACCCTGGGAAAGGATAAAGAGAGGCCCGTGGGGTAGAGCCATCCCCGGGAAAGAGGGGAAAGAGGGGAAAGAGCTGGGGAGTTCAAGTGCAAAGGCTTTGGATGACTCTGCAAAGGAAGGGACTAGGGCGGGGATTGCTTCCTTCCCTTCGCCTTGCTGACCCCATCTGGCCTCAAGTGGAAATGGGGTCTGTGGTGACTCGGGGAGAGAGCTGAGAGGAACGGAATAAAGGAGTTCTCATTCGCTGAAGTACTTCCCAAGACTCCCCAAAGCCACTGCTTTTGCGAGGAAAAGAAGTGTTCGACTCTGGAGGGTCCTGGTAACCTAACCTTAGCTGCTAGACTTCAGCATGTGGTTTGGGGGAAGTCTCTGACCCAGAGAAGGAAGATCAGAAGATAGCATTTGATCTGAGATCGTATGCATGGAAAAGATGACAGCCCCTAATTAGTGACTGTTGCTGGATAATGAAATACTACATCGCACTGGCTTGCCAAGCAGCATTGGTAGAAATCCTTGCCTGTTGTACAAGTATGCAACCCTCCCAATCTGTCCCCACCTTCCCCTCCCTCCGCGACCCCAGCCAAATATTTTCCCTCCCAGTCATGTAGCTGCTATGAGAAAACTCGTGAGCTGGCGGAGAGCAAGGCGTTCAGCCAGCCAGCTGTTCTCAGATGCCTAAAAATGTGCTGATTTAACCAGGGAAAGAGCTTTAATGGGCTGGACTCCTTAGAGACCCTGGGTTAGCCCATTATATCAACCACTTGTATCTGCCAACACACACACAATAATCATGAGGCCATTTACAATTACAGGCTCATTATTTAGAAATAGCTTCATTTGGCTTTCATCGTTTTGTCATTGTGGATTACAGTAAAGATCTCATTAGTACACCAGTCTTGTTGACTGGAGGGAACCAGGATCATGGAATTTCATAGGATATATCTTCTTGGTGATAGAGTCTTCATGTAAGTTCACCTGAAGTCCCGTATCTGTGGAAAACTGTATGGGAGTGAAAAAAAAAAAAAAAAAAAAAAAAAAAAAAAAAAAAAAAAAAGCTGAGTTGAATTCCCTTAGGCTGTGTGACCTTGGGCTGCTCTCTTCTCCCCTTCAAAGTCCAGTTCCCTCATCTATAAGACAAGAAAGAATGTTCCACTAAACCCAAGGAGCTCTATGATTCCAAAGAGGTTCCTCTAGAGCGGCCTGGTGGAAGGGGGAGAGGGAGCCCAGCAGCCAGGCTCTGGGCCTTACTTACCTTCACTAAAGGCAGGGCAGCGCTGTTCTCCATGCTTGGGGGATTGTGTCTGAGTCCGATTCCCTGGGATAAGAGTTTGAAAGGCATCCACCTGAAGGATCGCCAAGGTTCCTTCCAGTCTGGCTGCTCTGTCCTTTAAACTCCAGGAAAATTGCTCCTTAAGGATTTCCAAAAGAACGAAAACTGTGACTTCCTTTGGTGTTTACTAGTGTCTCCTTGCAGACAAAGAGATAATCTTATTGTCTAACCCAAGTATATTTTAGTCCCTCCTATTCTAGTTTTGAATGGTGGAAGAGAGTAAGTGCAGAGATCTCCAGGGTTCTGGGACTGCGACTGAGCTGAACAATGTGACTTCCTTCACTAATCCCATTTCCCTTTTTTTCTCCCCGTTGCTCGTTCGGTCCTGTCTGATTTGGCGGGGTCAACCACAGGCGTAGCTCAACCGTGAGGAAGCAGGTAAGGGCCCAGCAAGAGCCAGGCTGGTCGGGTGAGAAGATGGTTATGTTCCATAGACATTTATGGAAGCCTACTGTGGGCAGGGCAGACACTTTCCTGACTTCCTGCCTGCGTTTGGAATGTACCATTCAGTCACAGTACATTTACCATTATGGCAAACTTCATTGACTTTGCTTGTTTAACTGCAGCGGCCGTGGCCTTTCTGACTTGTTCCTCCCCTCTCTAGTCGTGCACCCTCCTCCTTGCTAGAGATGTGGTTGGACTGTGGCAGATCGTGCCAGAACTGCCCGCGGTGTCACTGCTCTAGGAAACCGCGGAAGAGGCCTCACGCCTTGTACATAAGTTCCACATGGGAGCAGCTCGCGGCAGCTAATCACCTCGAGTGGACACTCTGGCTTTAAGTGTGCGGATTTTTGTTTGTTTTTTTCTGGTGGTGTGGTCATCCTAGATGTATTTCTTAGACATGCTAAAGATGCAAAGATGAGTCTGATCTGAAGACGATCGGGAAATTGATGTTGAACCCCATGCTGGTTGGCATGATTTTCAGTGTTGTATTCAAATCTGATGCTGGGCAGACAGCTCTCATTACCCATATCAGGGCAGGCTCTTTGGAAGGCAGGGACTGGGTAATGCACATCAGTGGATAATCTAAACAGCACTGTGTTTGTGTGTGTAAAAAAAAAAAATTAATTGAAGTAGTTTTATGGCGAGTTGCTAAAATGATTTTGTGTCCCCTAAGCTCATACCAGCTATGTGGCAGGCAGTTAACAGGGAGGAGGTGGAGAGAGCTCCGAATGTCTTTTTGTCTACTCAGGGGAAAACTGATCCAGGCTTTAAAAAATCATTTTAGGTAATTCACAGCGGCTGTAGCCACAGGGAGATAATCGAATGTAGAGGGCACATGGCTTCTGTTGTGGCAGCGGCCCCGACACGGTCTTCAGCCCGTCTGGCTGCTTCAGCTAACCGGGCAGTCCAGGGACACTCGGCTGACATGGCTCTCGCTTGTCTTAGCTTTGCCGTCACTATTTCTTTTTCCCCTTCTCTGCTTTGGATCTCATTATAATGAGACCACCATCACATATAATTATACATGTTTTAATTTATAAAAATTTCATCGCATCTGTCCTTCCTCTGGTTCCTCTATTTCTTTCTTCTGCCCTTTCTCCCATAATTTCATTTAAACCCAGAGAAGCATGGAGTGCCTCCCAGGGATGATCTATTGCATGTAAAAATTAATAGGTGGGTATCTTAAGAGGGAGCCAGCTTTTTTTCCCTTCAACACTAAGAACAGGGTTGAACTGAACATTTGTTCCTTTCAGTTCCTGGGCTGAAACCAGGCCTCCTGCATCTAGACGGAGCATAGGTGCAAGAGCCTCCCAGGCTCCACTCTGGCCACCGGAGTGCCAGAGACCGCAGTTTGGCAGGCAGTAGGCGGCCCTGGTCGAGCTCACCGTCAGAGGGGAGCAGCGCCCATCTGGTTTGCATCCTGCTGCGTCTAAGCAGTTGCAGGCAAAGCGCGTTGCCTGCTCCTAGATTTGCGTAAGAGCCCGGGATGCACCCAAAAACCCCAATCAAATAAAGACCTTGTTTTCTTTCTGCTGCCCCAGTTTCTCTCCAGCAGCTCCAGCAGATCTAATGGTGGATCGGTGAAGAGTTTTTCCTACGATGGGCAGGCAGGGAAATAGTAATTGGGAAGATGAGTAGCCTTGTGTAAGGAAATAAATAATTGGTTGTTTATGGCAAGTCAGCCAAACAAGAGGAAGAATCTGGTAGCTTTTGTTTTTGAGGATCCCTAATGGGTTCCAGTCATTTTTGACCCTAGCAAAGCCTAGGTTCAAACCATCCCAGCCTTTTCTGCCTCAACCGCCACTTCTAAGCTTTGTCTGCTACCCTCAAGCCCAGCATTTCTCTTTCTCATCGATTCTGACTCTTCTTTGCTTGTCCATCTTTCCCCTTGCCTCTAAATGTAGGCATGATCCCAAGGGTTGGTCCTGTTTTGACTTCTTTTTGTATTCTTTCCCTTGTTGGCTTTGTTCCCTTGGACGAACCTTTCTCTCCTTCCCCGAGTGTCCATTGTTCTGAGTCTTTGAATCTAATCTCGAACTGATTGGCTGGGTATCCACTTGAGAGTTGAGATGGCGCCTCCTCCCTACCATGGTCTAACTTCTAGCACATTCCCCAACTTGTCTACTTCCCGTGATGGGGGGCCTCCATTCTTCACAGTCCTGAAACCCCAAATATTATCTTTGATGCCTCTTTCTTTCCCATCACCCACATCTACTCAGTTGTGTCGACTTGTATTTTCTCCCTTGGTAAGAACGGAAATCTAACAATGTAACAGATCAGTACTCAGCAAAAATCCGAACTCTCTCGCTCATGAGAAATTATGCCAGACAATGACATGTTTAGGCGCTCTCTGGCCACCTTCCTGATTGTTTTCTCCTGCTGATCCTGGAACCCCTGCTTAACCATCTTTTCCAAATTGTGCCTGTTACCTTTCTCCTTCCACCTTTGGTTTAAAGATCCCTAATCTGATTGAATGGAGATTTGGCCCAATTGTCTTTAAAGGCCCCTTCCCACCCTAGGATTATGCCACCAAAAATATTGTGAACTAAAGAATTAAATGGACATCGATTCTAACATTGCAGGAGGGAAGGAGAGAGGAAGAAAGGGAGAGATGGACACAGAATAAGGACACATATGGACACTGCATGGTCAGCTGTTTGCAAACTCAATGGTGAAGTGAGGGTCTTTGGGGCCCCATAGGAGCACACAGGCACACCCTGGGGGAATGAATTCACTCAGAGCTCAGAAACCTTACAAGGAGAGGGGAGGGTAGTAGGAGCGTTGGAGGCCTTCGTGACATTGTCCAGTTTTTGCTCCCACTAGACTGTCTTAGGCTCCCCCGGAGCAGTGGGGACAGGTCATCTCTGGCCCACTCTTGTCCACCACAGAGAGTTCCCCTGGGCTGCTTCCGATGTACCCCCAGTAACCATGGACATGCAGGTTTGATGTCTTACTTTCTGCACCCCTGCATGCTTCCCTTTAACTACCATTGATATTCCGTTTCCCGCAAGTCTAGGCTGAACTTGGCATCCACATAACTTGTTGAAGCCAGTCAGTCTGTGAATTTCCCGACCTACTTCTCTTTGGGTCTTTAAATTTAAATCTAGGGCCAGAAAAACTTTTCAAACCCTCATATCGCTAACTTCATTATCACTGCTACCACTCTTTGTAACTTCCAAAAATTGGAGGTTTTGTTTTTTTACAGTGGAATCTATTTTCTTCAGTAGAGTATAGAAGTATAGACCAAGAGTCTTCCTCTAAGAGCGCCCCAGGCTGACTGGCAACGAGAGGGCAGACACTGGCTACTATGGCTGGAAAGCTGGAGGAAGCAGAGGGCTTCAGGGGTTATGAAGATGAGCATTTGGGTCCCCGAGCCCTCCCTGACTCCAGGGCTCCCTTGGCACACTCACGACTTCCTTCGGCCGCATCCTGCCTTCCCAGTAAGCTTGGGAGCTACAGGCCGTGCCAGCTCTTCTCACAGCCTGACTTCTTTATGAGATCTGGCCGCTTCCCTAATGGTGGCCAAACCGCAGGGCCCCGGCTAAAAATTCAGGAATGTAGGCAAACCTGTGAAAGGAGCAGAAGCCACAGGACCCATCCCATTGAGATGCAATCTCTGTCCTAAACTACTTTATTTTATTTTATTTTATTTTATTTTATTTTATTTT